AGAACAGCCTATAAATATCATTTAGGAAATTAAATTTGTATTCCCTTCCCGAGTTCTTCATCTTACACTCTGAAGAGGTTGTACAGTAATCAGCACGGAGAAAGAAGAATCTTTTTGGTTCAGGTCACACCAACAAAGCAGCTGATGAATGTGGGTAACTCTGGGTTGCGCCCCAGAGTCTCCTGAGCCCTCAGACCTCATTTTCAACTTCATCTGGAATTGGGCCTATCTGGTACTTCTGAAAATCAATCAAAGTTTCAAAAGCATAGGCCCACAGTGTGATCTTTAATCAATGTCTCACCTAACTGATGTGTGAAGTGATTTGAAATATATGCATACGATGTGCTTTAAAGGGGGCCAATGCATTTAGCAGTAGCAGTGTAGTAAGTCACCTCCTGAGCAAAAAATTCACTGGGGCAGCAAGAATACGACACCTTATTATCTATTTGAAGGTACAATAACAATAAGGTTCACTTTCAGGGGAGCAGGTTTTATCTGTGCACTTCAGAGGGCAAAATCTCTTCTCCAGCGGCTGTTCCTTGCTCTGTTTACAGCCTGCCAAAACCTGGTTTTCCTGCAAAAGGAACAATTGTGTCAGACAGGCAATACCTCCGCTCTGTTCTTGCTGCCAGGCTGGACGTAACTGTGTTTAGCCCCTCATGAACAGCCTGAGCCTGCAAAACCAGTCCTACATCCATAGAGACCAGACCTATATAGTAAAAAAAGTGACAGACTTATACTTCATGTTTTTTTTTTTTTCTATTTTTCTATTATTTCTATTTCTTTCCTTGCATAGAGCTTATGTCTGGTTTGGGGTTCAAAGTTGTTCAGTTTTGTAGATTTCCAGTCCTTGATGCAAAAGATTTCATGTTTGGGATAGGTGGGTGAGGTTTCACATTACACTGTATTTATTACTCATTTTACAGGCAGGCAATAAAACACATAGAGCTCAAGTGATTTCCCTGGCACATCCAGGTAGGGTGCATGGCATGGCTGATGGCGGAACTGATGCACGGTTTAGAGTGGCTCAGTTCACAGTCTCATTTATGAGGCACCTATTTACTCATACTGAATCTCACTGGAGTTACTGATTAAAGGAAACACTATTTGGACTTGTGGACAGCACAGCGTGTGGCCTAAGGGATGTACAGGTTCAAACTGCATGAGATGATCACCAGATTATAATCAGAACATAACCCCAGTGTCTCGGTTATTGGATTTGTCAGCTATTCAGCAGTAATGACCAGCATTAAATACTTCGGCATCAGAGAAGCCAAGTAACTTACCTTTTCCACACCAGTCCATCTGTCCAGCACATCTCTTGCAAAGTTGAAGTACTCTGGCACCTCTGGTCTATACTGTTGTTTTATGGCTTCATAACTCAAAGAGCCGTGAACTGGGTAGCACCGGCTGCCAAGCTGGAGAGATCTTCTCAGGGGAGTCCGCAGGAACATAGCCCTTGGGATGTGACCACAGTGTCCCTTGGTACAAAGACATTTACAGTTTTTCTAGTTTATCAGCATTGGGGATATATTGGTTGCCAGGAATGAAAGGAATGTAGCAAAGCCCTGAAAAGATTCTAAGTATTGATGTTTTAAACATTATTTTGATGTGTGGTCAGCAAAAAGCATCACTTTATGAGGCAGGGAAACGTTAACACTCCCTGAAAAAGGATTCAAAATGCAAAGCCTTGCTTCTCAAAAATAGTCAACTTAGCAGGAGGTCTGAAAACTCTGAAGTCATTATTTTCATGCGTTGTCAACTGTCTTTTATTTACAAAATAATATAAACACTGCTAGTTCCTTATGGAATCAGTAACTATCCAGCTGTAAAATCATGTGATTTTAGTGATTTAGTGAAGCAAAGGGACATTTTTTGGATCTGTAACATTCAGTCTGCATATGACAAACACAGGAGAGAAACCCAGCCAAATGAAAGACAGAAAGGGACAGGGAGAGGAAGGAATGTGGACAGACAAGAGGCAAATCAGCACTGCTCCAGTGCCAGAACATGTCCTGGCCAGCAGCTTGCAGGGGTGGGTGGAGGGTCAGTTACCTCGTCAAAAGGCCGTCAGTCCCAATTTACTGCCTCCCTGCCTTGGACTGAAGCGTAGCCCTCTCAGTGCCCAGATGTGTCACAGCTTTGACTCCCTACACAGATCTCAGACTCCTGGCCATGTGCTCACTCTTGCACCATTACTGTGTCCAGTGACCGGCTCCTGTGTTCCTTACATGTACTTTGGACTCACACAAGGGGCAGCCAAGTCCAACTCAGCGAGAAGAGCCGATAGGTTTTTGCAGAGCTCAGATGGGAGGTAGAAAGCGTGAGTCCCAAATCTCTCGTTTCCTTTTTCTTCCCTCTTCCCACCCACCAGCCCATGGAGGAACACAGTCATAAGACCTTGCTACAGCCAAATCACATCTGATACACTTTGGCTGGGGCAACACAGGAGCAACAGCCTTGCGATTGACTTTGTGACTGCACCACTCAGTGGGTAGCTTGGGTACCTGCTTCCCAGATAACCGCAGCAGTTCAGCCATGACAACAGTGAGCATCGATTCCTGGGACGCTGCAGCTGGTGCCTGGACCAGCTTTGTTAATACCTGGTGACTTGTGAGGTTTTGTAAGGGCTCTACCTCATGTTCAGAGAGCACGCAGTTATGTGGTGCTCCAGCATCGCTGCCTCCTCTGCTCCGCTCCCACGGGAGAGGCAGGAGGGAACGTGTGCCATCCTCTCTGCCATCCAGGCCGGGACCCAGCATCACTGTGGGCATGGCTGTGACATTGGTGTGTTCCTCTACCTTCAGCCTCTCCTGCAAGGATGTCACTCACTAGGGAGCTAGCGACAGCTGTAACTTAAATTGGGGCATGAAGATTCATAAGGGTTTGGCTGCCAGAGCTCTAAATAGCTCCTGCTGTATTTCCATCCTCAAACCATGGCTCTAAGGTCAGCAGAGAGATTGCTAGCACCCATCTACATCTTTGGACCAGAACAGTCCTCTGGGTGCTGATCAGTGAGGGTGACGCTGCAGTCTTTCCTGGCATGTAGGTCCTGTACGTTTGCCAGAACTCCCTCCTGGGGTTCCGTCCACGTCCATTTGTAAACAGCAACATTTGTAAACAGCATCTCAAAGGAGATGTTAACCAGCTCCCTGAAATGTTCACTGCAGCAGGAAGTAACTGATTCAAAACAGATTTCCCCAAACAACAAAGCTGCTCTCTGCCTAGTGGTAAAGGGAGACCTACAGTCAGTCTGCAGTAGTGACATTTTAAACAGCTCTTTGAAACGCATGCGATGAAATCCTCCCAGAGGAAAGGCAGAGGAACAGCCTTAAAGGGATTCCCTACCCAGAAGATCACATCACCCTAGAGGAGGCACGAACATTAGGAGAAAATTACAGCAATGGCTTATGATAAGAGTCAGCAAATGTGCCAGGCAAGAAGGTTTCCAGTTTAGGAGGAAAATCGTAACTCCCACAGTCACTTAACCTGTAACCTATTCTTTTGGTAGGGCATGTAACTGATTTCCAGAACACCGATGGGTATTTCTAAGTCCCCCAGCACTTTTCACCACAGAAGTATCCTAGTTACTTTCGGAGTGGTTAATTGCATTTCCTCTGCACCACTCACAGCTGCCTGTAGAAATTCTCCCTCGTGTTTCAAACATGTCCTGACATGCCCAGCTCCAGAGACTATCACTATAATTCACCAGAACTTTGAGTCTTTCACACGACCTCAGCCCTGCAAAGATTTAGTGACTTTTAATTAATGTGTGGCCAATAATCGCACCGATGTCTAACAACGGCTGTAGAACTGTATGAGCCTCAAAGGCTTTGCAGGAACAAAGCTTCATGTAAGATATAAATGCCACCTCCTGTTGTGGTTGTAACTGATAAATACTTCCATCAATTCATGAAGTTTCCTTTTTTCCCTATTTTAGCCCAGCTGGATTCTCTGGATGTAAATAATAAGATAGTCCTGCCCCTAGTGAGGCCTCCTTAGCTGTCTCCTCTACCTGTTTCCACAAAATGTCGAGGAACTTAATTTTTCCCCCTTAATTGTCCAAGAAGCTCAAGAGTTACTGCAGGGAGAGGAGGCTCTTATGGACAGGGATGCCAAGATGCGTTCTGTCAACGCATGTTCTCTAGTATCTCAGGCCTAAATCTACCTGTACGAAGAGTTTCTGTTTCAGGTGGTCCCTCTACACCCTGACACCTTCAGGAGTTCGATAGGAAGCTGGGGAAGCGGCCAAAGGCCGGCTCTCTCCCCGCTGGGGTGTACGGGTCGGTGTTTGACCATCACGGCAGAGCAGGGCTGAGGTCTGCTGGCCCCCCTGCTCTTCAGCGAGCGTCCGTCCTCTCCTCTCCCCCACCCAACCTTTTCTCTCAATTCTGGAATCATTAACACAAACCCAGGCTTTAATCCTGGAACCGAAGTTTGGGGGGAAGAGAAAGCGCCAAGGGCTACGGGTGACTGAGCTTGACCACGGCTGAGCGCGTCGAGTCCAGAGGACCGTGCCTGGGCAATGCTCAACCTCCCCCCGGCACGCGTGGAGTCTGAGGTGAACTGTAATTGTCCAGGGTGGGTTTTCGGGTTATTTTTACCTCCAAGGGCACCGCACTGCCTACGGCACCACCGGCTGCGAGAGGAGCCTGGAAGCCGG